CTCCCAAAGTGCTGGGATTACAGGCTTGAGCCACCGCGCCCGGCCTGGTTAGCTACTTTTGAATAGTAGCTCACATTCTTGTTGGCTGATGAGTACACAGCTTGGTACTGACATACTAACATTGGAATCATGCTTTCAAAACACTAAAAAATTCCCTTACAGTATTGGCTTTCTTTAAAAATCACTGGAATTGTCAAATTTACCATTGCAGTATTATTTCAATGAAAACTATTAGGTTGAACCATATGAAATGGCCCATACTTGATCATTTTTGATATCAAAAAAACAGCAATTTCAAATAATGCTACCTTATACAAAACCTACCTCGGGAAGAGCCAACATAACAAGCAGCTTCTTTCCCTTTGCACATTCAAAAACCCTATATGCTTGGAGGCTGAGATAGCTTCCATCCATACTAAGTGGAATCTTTTTTATTTTTCATGAATGCAATCTCAATAACACAGACAGCCCTTCCCCCAAACCCTCCCATATGAACTGCCCTTATTTGTAGGGCAGCTACTTACGGTTGGGGAAATAGATCAAGCAGACAAAGCGAACTGCTAAGTCCAAGAACTTATGTACCCAGGACAGTAACCTCATATAGCACCATTTTCTATCAGGATTGTTCAGTCCTTATATTTATTGAAAAAAAAAAAAATTGGGACAAAGTATACATTCGCTAAGCAATGTAATTGATTAGTTGATCATTATTTTAATAATTTCTTTCATTTCCCCACTATATTTGTAAGGACAAATAGCAGACTTCCAAAGCTTTTTCAAGTAACTTCCTGGTTTATGTATTCTTCACATCAAAACTGTGCTTCTACACAAAATTAGTGCTTCGGATGAGTCAGAATTTAGAAGACGTAAATCTATAACCCAGTTTAGGTAATTGTTTAAATGGGTTAAGGAAAAGCTTTCAGCTTCCCCTTTTTGAGCCTTGATTACTACTTTCCTCCCCCCAGGCCTTCTAGCTTGCTTACCAAAAAAAGAGAATTTGCAATTCTATGAATTATTGCACAGTGTAAACCCACTTTCCTCCTATAGATGTGGCGAACATACAGTTCAAATACACAAAGCACATACACTTGAGAGTCACACTCAGACAATTTAACCGAACAACAGAAACACACCAGCCCCCAAGGATACCACCAATGCACGTATTCATCAACCCCTGCCAACCCAGTCTGGCAGGCATCCATCACCCAGCAAGTGGTCCTAGTAACTTCTCCTGTAGACTCCAGGTCTGACTCCTACTTCACACTATCATATGTCCCTAGAGACATGAGCACAATTCAACGCAACCAATGATTATTAAGCAACCTCTTTGTGCTGAATACCACATTCTTTCCTTTTAATTCTTTAGCCATAGTCCCAGTCACACCAAGTACAGCTTGGTTTAGTTCCCCAATCTTCCCAGACATTCGGGTTTCTGCAGTAACCCCATCCAGTCTCCCTAAAGCAAGAGTTCTTTTTTTTTTTTAAGATGGAATCTCACTCTGTCGCAGAGGCTGAAGTGCAGTGGCTCAATCTCGGCTCACTGCAACCTCCACCTCCCAAGTTCAAGCGATTCTCCTACCTCAGCCTCCCAAGTAGCTAGGGCCACAGGTGTATGTCACCATGCTTAGCTATAAAGCAAGAGTTCTTAACCTGGGTTCACATGTAGGGTTAAGGGGTCCATAAACTAGGGTGAAAATAATCCTACATCTTTATTGTCATTTTTACCTCTAATGGAAATTTAGCCTTTCTTCAGTTATGAATGTAGACAATAAACCACAGATATTTTCATATCACAGCTACTGAAGATATATTGAAATGTTATTTATGCTCATCATTACTTTGAAATTTGGTGGTTAATAGATCTACCTCTAGATTTGGTATGTAATGCATAAATAAGAAGCAAATGACTGCATTACAATTTATTTAAATATTTTGATACCTGCATTTCAATATGATCGATTTCCTCTATAATCTTATGCATTTTATTTTATGCATTTAAAACATTATTCTGAGATGGGGTCTATTTGGTTTACCAGATGTTAATGGAAACTGTCCCACAAAAAGTACCTGCTATCTGGTTTGAAAGTATTCCATTACCTGCTCAACTCATATGATTCTCCCTTCTACCTCCAAATTTCCTCTTCTTCCATCCTATTCTAACATAGATAAATGCCTCTAGATCAGGCAAGTCCCTCTGTATGGCCCTCAGCAAAGCCAAGAGAATCTTTCTGCATTTCTAGGTCTCTCCGTAGTCAGTTTCCACTTCCACTCACAGGTGAAATCCAGAATCTTCTTTTAGCTTACTAAGTACTTTCATAACCTTTCTTTCCATCCAGTCATATCGGCAAGGCATATTTATCCCATCAAACCTTAATATCAGGCAAAGCTTGAGGTCTCCTTTCAGTTTGGAGCACAAAGCTTTTTTACTGTCTCTTGGGATAATTGGCCCAGGAAGATGAGTAAAGCCAGGGCCAAGCAAAACTGGCAGATCTGGCAACACACGCAAATGTAAAAAACACTGGAATTACATGCATGGGACTCAACTGAGCACTGCGCCTCCCTGGAACTCAAGGATGTCTAGGCAAGCCAAGAACTGTCATCAATAAGTCAAAGTTTATTGCTAACATCAGAAATATATGGCACAGTTATTTCTGTAGTGACTAAATTGTCCTGTTCCATCACCCAGCACCCCGAGTTGACCACCTCCTGTGACAATAGAAACATAAAGGATTATAAAACTTACTCAGAAAGAGAAAGAAAGATGCCACATATGAGATGCCTGCCATTTGGGCCAGCACAGTCCTTTCCTGTCCCCGCAGTGTCACTAACCTTCAGAGGCTGAGTGACAAATGCTGTGCTCTCACTGCAAAGTAAAGAGGAAGCAATAGTGTGGTTTCCAGCCCGCTGAGCAGCAGAGATGGTTTGCAAAAAGCAAAACCGGTTACATTATGTAGCTCTTTGCTAATCACTCAAATTTGAGAGTACAAAAGTTATCTTCATGGTTAAGCCAACAGATATAGATAAAACTAAGAAAAGATGGGCCTCAACCTGGCTCAGTATGTGTCATTTGGTAATGGTGAGAGAATTTAAGTAAACTAAATGAATAAAAAAGCAATCAGAAATGTTCTCTTCGTGGCCCTACTTCTCTGTTTCTTAGGAAAGGAAATGAGTAGAAATTGGAGAAGGCCCCTGGAAAACATGAACGTGGGGCAACACGAGGTGGTGGTGAAGGTTACAGGCTCTAGAGTCAGGTTGCTTGGGTTTGCATGCAGTTTCTGGTTTTAGTAACTATGTAATCTTAGAAAACTTAATTAACCTTTCTAACCCTCATTGCTAAAATGAGGATACTAATAGTATGTGCCCCATAAGATTACTGTGAATGCCAAATGAGCTGATTTATTTAAAGCACTTAAAACAATACCTGGTACATAGTAAGTGCTCAGTGAATATTAGCTACCATCATCACCATCGTGAGACATTCAAGTAAATCTTCATCTGCCCTATGAAGCTACCTTTGCAAAAATTTTAACAGTGAGAAAGTTATGACAGTGAAAGGGATCTCAGCTAACCAACTCCATCTTGCTTCAAACCTCCAAGCTGCCCTTGTTCATTCCTGGATGTAGGCCAAACTAACTTTGGGAGGAATTTAGCTTACAGTTTAATTTTGAAACAAGGAGGATAACTGCCCTTTCTGGAAACAAATCCCCTTCTTGCCTGGGAGCAGACTTCCTTAGTAGGACTAACAAATTAGACACAAGATTGGAAATCATGGTTTAGGAGTCATGCAGCCAGAAGCCACACAATTCCAACCTCCCCAGTTGTTCCTAGGGATGTCACTACCATAAAACCTAAGTTGGTGCTCAAGGTATTTTTCAGACCCTGCATTCTGATGCACCAGCTGGCACCACCCAGGCTGATAATCTGGCTCAGCCAGTTCCTTGATCCCACCCAGGAACAGAAGACTGCAAGAAGAGGCCCCTTCCATCCCCTGTGATGTCATCTCCAAAATGGTCAATCAGCACTCCCCACTCCCTGGCCTGCTATATTATCCTTAATAACTCCAAACTCTGAATTTTCAGGGAGACTGATTTGAGTAATAAAACTCTGGTTTCCCAGTTAGCTGGTTCTGTGTGAATTACACTCTTTCTCTGTTGCAATTCTCCTGTCTTGATAAATCAGTTCTATCAGGGCAGCAGGCAAGGAGAATTCATCGGGCAGTTGCAATAATGGGCAGTTATACCGATGTGAACCCAGATGCTAAAGGTGGCAGAGGAATGCCTAAATGCAACAGTCGGCCCTGAACATAGGCTAATTTAATACTATGCTAGTGTTAGACTTCTCAGGAAGCTTCCACTTAAATCAGATAATCACAAGGCGACGTGTCAACAATCAGTGGGGCACCTATGGGGGTGGTGAAAATTTGTAGGCAGGAGGGAAGGTCAGGATGGATTGAGCTGGGCCAGGTGAGTCAATGAGTCATCTAGAGAGGCAGGGAGCCAAGGTACAGTTGGGGAGAAACCGTCTAGCATAAACGGTTATGTAACACACAGGCTGTACTATCTTCTGGAATAAAGTTTGAAAGAAGGATCTATATAGGTAGGATGGGCAGATCTTAGTGGGCTTTGTGTGCAAAGCCTAAGAGCTTGGCTTTTATTAATACCTTGAAGAAGAGGGGAGCTATTAAGATTTTTTTTCTTTTTTTTTTTTTTGATCAAGTTTCGCTCTTGTTGCCCAGGCTGGAATGCAATGGAGCGATCTCTGCTTACTGCAACCTCCACCTCCTGGGTTCAAGCGATTCTCCTGCCTCAGTCTCCCAAGTAGCTGGGATTATAGGCACGTGCTATCATGCCTGGGTAATTTTGTATTTTTAATAGAGACGGGGTTTCCCCATGTTAGTCAGGCTGGTCTCGAACTCCCAACCTCAGGTGATCAGCCCGCCTCAGCCTCCCAAAGTGCTGGGATGACAGGGGTGAGCCATTGCACCTGGCCTTCTAAGATTTTTAGTAGGAGTACAGCCTGGTTGGATTTTCCTTTTAAGTTGAATTCCTTATGTGTGCATTGCTAACAGGTTGAAAGGTAAAGCAGGGAGACAAGGCTAGAAGCAAGAAGACCAGTTACAAGATTTTTGCAGTTGTCTCTGTGAGCAATCATAAGGGCCTGAAGCAGGGCATTTAAAATAGAGACAAAGGTGGGATAGACAAAATAATCAAAGTTACTGAGTACTCCCTGTGCAGTAAGCACCGTGCCAGGTGCTGGATTTCCATACATAATTAAGATACAGCCTGAAGGACCTGCTGTTTGTGCCATGTGGCATGGTGGAGGTGAGCAGGTAAGAACTTGACTGTCACATCAGAGATATCAGAGAAGGAAGAGGGCATGTCTAATCTGGAGAGGATGAATGAGAGGTCAGTAAAATCTTTAGGAGCTAGGTGGCATTTTAAAGTAAAATTTGTTTTCCTCATGAGAATTATAGTAGAATGGGGTAACATTCTACAAATTCAGGTCTGGAAGCATCTAACTTTATCTGTCTATCTATGTATCTATGTATCTATCTATCTGTCTATCGATTTATTCTACCTATGTATCTGTCTGTGTGTCTATACATCTATCCCTCCATTCACTCATCCATTCTTCTGGTTTTATTCATTAGCAATGATACTTAACAATTAGCCCCCCAGTGAGGGTCAAGTTACAAATATTAAAGTCTTAAGTGAAAGGCCCTGTACCTCCCTTTTCAAGGTACTATGCAAGGCTTGGGAGACAAAAGAGGTGTAAGAGGGCCTTGACCTCCAGGAACTTGGGATCTACTTTAATAAACAACTGAGATTTAAAAAAAAAAACAAACAAAAAACAGCAGCCATATATGGCAAACATCGGTCTGGTATCCGATTTATTGTTCAGGCAAGAAATAACCTGAATTAATAGGCTGAAAAGGCAGGGAATAGCGGCAGGAGGTCATTCAGAAAAGGCTGGTTTTAAAGTCGGTCCTTGGACATCTGGTATGATGCAAATAGGCAGGGAGGAGAAGGAAGGACATTTCAGTGTGGATAAATACAACGTACAGAGGCAGAGGCAGGGACGAGCAGGTTGTATTTAGGGAACAATTGAAGGGCAGTCTGCCTAGGATGGAGATTTCAAACCAACTCTCCAGGGTGCTAACTGTAAAATCAGTGAGGCTCAAATTACAGGAATTTATTCACCATTTCAGTTGGAGAAGTTGGGGGTCACCCCCAGGCGCCAACACTTTAAGCAAATGTGGTGAATGGATTAGTTACTACCGTGTAACAATCACAAAACTTCGGTGGCTTGCAACAGTAAACATTTATTTCTGTTGACAAGGGTGGCTCTGTGCATGTGGCTGTGTTCTGCTGACAGGAGCCGGACGGTCTAGGATGGCCTTGGATCGGACAACTCAGTTCTCTTCCGCATGTCTCTCACATCTCTCTGGCAGGCTGGACTGGCACATTTTCATGGTAATGTCAGGGGTGCAAAAGAACTAGTGGAAACATAACAGCATCTCTTTTTTTTTTTTTTTTTTTTTTTGAGACATAGTTTCACTGTTGTTACCCAGGCTGGAGTGCAATGGCGTGATCTCGGCTCACCGCAACCTCCGCCTCCTGGGTTCAGGCAATTCTCCTGCCTCAGCCTCCTGAGCAGCTGGGATTACAGGCACGCGCCACCATGCCCAGTTAATTTTTTGTAGTTTTAGTAGAGACGGGGTTTCACCATGTTGACCAGGATGGTCTCGATCTCTTGACCTCGTGATCCACCCGCCTCGGCCTCCCAAAGTGCTGGGATTACAGGCGTGAGCCACCGCGCCCGGCCACAACAGCATCTCTTAAAGCTTCTGCTTGCATCGTGACCACCATGGGCCTAAGCAAGCCACGACCAAGTCCAGAACCAAGAGATGGGTTAAGATATATTCTGCCCCTTTATGGAGGGGAACTGCAAAGTGACAGAGCAAAGGGAGAGATTAACACAAACAAACCGAGGTCATCAATGCAATCGATCTGCCATGTGCACTGAAAAGGGAATTATTTTAGAAATAAGCATTGACCACAGAGACAATCATTGCCAATAATAGAGAATATCCTGTATCCATAAAATATATATAACCCAGTAAATGCTATGCGATTTCTCATTCCTGGCTGTTGCCAAAATATTTTTTCTCTTTCCATTTTAGTGGCTTCATCTCTGCCAGAATTTAACATTGACAGGGTGCTGTTGCTTCTTTTCTGGAGGGAAAAAAGCAGCTTTCTGTTGTCAAGAAAAAAAAAGAAAGAAAAGAAAAAATAGAGCCAGCAAGAGAGACAGTTATTCTATTACCTTGGGAATTGTTGCACTGCAATTGTATCATTTGAAAGGAATGTAAAAATGTAATTCCTGAGTCAGATAGAGGGGGAGAGAGACAGTACCGGACAACGAAACCAGGAATGAACTAAAGGAAAAACAAATTCTGTTCTGTTTTAGTTCCTGGAAGATTAATAAAGAGTTCTTTTTCTCAGGTTGATATGCTCCAATATCAGTTCCATAGAACCATAGACATTGCAGGTGTTATGGTCTCTGAGCATAAGCACTCAGGCCCAAGAAATATGTAAACAGGGACCTTTTACACATCAGGCTCTGTGCAAGGCACTTTACAGATAGATACAGTTTTATAGAATGACTCAGGTCACTATGTGGTAGGTATTACTAATCCCATTTTACAGAGGAGAAAACAGACTCAGAGTATATCAATATCATATGGCTGGAAAATGGCTGGATTCTAAGGCTGCCTTCTCACTTTTGGTTCATAGCTCTTTCTAACAAACCTAGCTAGCTGCTCATGATTTACAGGAGGTAGAGTATAAGACAGTGAAGAGCTGGAGGAGGGGGAAAAGCCCTAAGGGGTCAGCAGGAGGCTGATCATGATTTCATCATTTTCCCCACTTGAGCTGTCTGAATTCAGGTCAAATTGATTCCTGCTCCACAGGGCCTGGACCTGCCCATGTAAGGGAGGCTGTGCAGTTGAGCCTCACCTCTGCATGTGTATAACACCAAGCAGTCACACTACAAGAAGGGACCTTGGTGATCTCAGTCAACTTCCTCATACAACAAAGGAAGAAACGGAGGCCTTGCATAGCCCAGTCGTGACCTGGCACCTGTGATGGAGGATGAAGTCCAGGTCCCAACTCCCCGGCCTTCTTGCTCTTCCTTCCCACTGGCCTGGCTTCACCAGGAGCTGATGAATTAACCAAGGCTGAAGGGGTTCTCAAGGTGGGTGACAACTCTTCCTATCTGTGGGGAAGGCATGACCTAGCTTTCTATGGAGGAGGCAAAAAGCATGGGGTATAAAATAGGGCGAATTTAGCTTCCTGGCCAAAGAGGAGAAAGAGAAACAGATGGGATTCCCAGACCGTCTCCTGTTTTCTAAGGGGACGCTTCCTTGGGAAGTGCTATTCTTTAAATTTCTTATGGAGGGTCCATTGACAACAAGATCTGATTAAAAAAAAAAAAATTGGGGGAGGGGAGCAGAATAGGTCTTAAAAAGAGGCAGAAAGGGCTTTCGGCTTTCGGCTCGGAGGAGGCCAAGGTGCAACTTTCTTCGGTTGTCCCGAATCCGGGTTCATCCGACACCAGCCACCTCCACCATGCTGCTGAAGTTCGACCCCAACGAGATCAAAGTCATATACCTGAGGTGCACTGGGGGTGAAGTCGGTGCCACTTCTGCGCTTGCCCCCAATTTCGGCCCCCTGGGTCTGTCTCCAAAAAAGATTGGTGATGACATTGCCAAGGCAACGGGTGACTGGAAGGGCCTGAGGATTACAGTGAAACTGACCGTTCAGAATAGACAGGCCCAGATTGAGGTGGTGCCTTCTGCCTCTGCCCTGATCATCAAAGCCCTCAAGGAACCACCAAGAGACAGAAAGAAACAGAAAAACATTAAACACAGCGGGAATATCACTTTCGATGAGATTGTCAACATTGCTCGACAGATGTGGCACCGATCTTTAGCCAGAGAACTCTCTGGAACCATTAAAGAGATCCTGGGGACTGCCCAGTCTGTGGGCTGTCATGTTGATGGCCGCCATCCTCACGACATCATAGATGACATCAACAGTGGTGCTGTGGAATGCCCAGCTAGTTAAGAAGCACAAAGGAAAATATGTCAATAAAGGTCATTTAACAACTGGTGGGGGGAAAAAAAAGGCAGAAAGGAGGAGAGGGGACAGGAAGCTCCCTTTACCTAGACCCTAGAGCTCTCCTACCCCCTTGGGGCCAGACATCCATCCACTGCTTACTCAGCCCGTCAAGCTCCAGTGTCTCCTATCCTACTAAATAGCTACATTTTTACCCTAGTTCCAAATCACCTCCTTTCCCCTCCTGTCTTCAAACTTCTGACCGTTTCCTGGTGTTCTGCATTCTGTGTGATTTCCTAATTCTCACTGCCACTTGGGCCCACTGAAATCTGGGCATGGATCCACGCAGACTCCCTGGGTCACAACAGTGAACACTGCTCACCTGACCTGGTCTTTCTGTGGCATCAGGTGTGGCTGGCCATTGGCAAACTTGCTTGCAATTCTTTCCTTCCCCCTCTGACACCACTGTCTCACTCACCCCTCTGGAAGTTCTTTCTCAGCCTGCTTCTCGCTGGTTTCTCTTCTCCAGGCCACTTGACATTATAATCTTCTCCGAGGTTCTG